AATATTGTCTCTAAAACCTTGCTTCATAATAAACCGATTTATCCACAAGCCTAATCCAAAGCGTTCCCAAATCCGCACAAGCAGCAATTACAACAATTAAGGTTACATAGTCTGGTTCCACACCCGAGAGCTGCATCTCCCGAAACCACTCCAATGCTTGCTCGAACTGACCTTTCTTGACAAACCCACCAATCAAAACAATCCAAGAAACCGCATCTCTCTGTGGCATTTGTTCAAACAGCTTGACCGCATCGTCAACCTTGCCATTTTTCATATACCCATCAATCATCGTATTCCAAGACATTGAATTCTTCACATACATTTATTTCATAATTCAAAATATCCTTTTTGGTAATTTTATATTAGGATAAATTAGTAATTTAATAAATAGTTTGATAGTAGGGTGTACTCAGTTAATTTTAGGGTTCATTTAGCACCACTCAAAGAAAATGGTACGATTAGGATGAAAAATAGAAAGATAAAACGATTGACCGAAAACAAACTTGTCTTCTTTCCTTTGCTTACATGAAATGAGTATTGATAGTATTTTGTACATCCTACGTATTTATTAGCACGTGGGTATTTGAATTATTCCGATTCATGAAGATCACACGTGGGTATTTGAATTGTTCCGATTCATGAAGATCAAGAATTAGATTGATTGGCGGAGTGGGTGATTCCTATCTAGGATTTCTCTCTCCTATTTCAAGTGATCTTGAGAATTGACATTAAAGTAGGTTAAAATTTTATCTATTTCCACACTATTCCGATTCCGATCCTCTCAAAATTTTTACACAAAAGTTTATATAACTTATATTGATATTAATAGAAATCTTAAATCATACAAAAGGATTCATGTGACACATACTAAGATATGGAAACTGAAGTAACTTTCTTTTGCATATGGTACCAACTTAGACAGTTGCCTACCAACTACCACTTGGTATAGCGGTATTTCTCTCCCCTTACATGGAAAGACATTTCAGGTTCAAATCTCTCACCTCATCGATAAAGAAAAAAAAAAACAAGTTGGTAAAAGGTTGGGTTTCTTGTGTCTAATACTAAGTCATATATATACATTTTTTATTACAAGCAATTTTGGAGGAGATGTGAATTGAACCTAGGACCATGGATGCAGAGGTAAATGATCTTATCAAATTGATGGAGCTACAAGTCCCTTGCCTAAATTGGACTCTTTGTTGTCGATGTTAAGCATGTTTTTCATATATGAATTGGTCCACCAAATCCCTCAATTCGGTATCATGTTCAAATAATGTCTTTTATTTTACGAAAATTGACTTACATATTCATTATGACACACAAACCTTGGTAAAAAAATACTCACCTTACAAATACTCAATTTCGAACGTAAAAGTACCAAATTATCCTCCATACAAGGCAAGCCACATTGGAGAAGGGGTTGATCAATCACAAGCTCGTGGGATCAGCTACTTCGCGCACAAAATTAAACATGACAGTTTGCAAAGCTTCTCACTTCACTTATAAGTACACAGCGGCATCGGCAACGACAGTTGTTGGCTGGGACTTCTTCTCTTCTTTGTTTTCCCTCTTCCCTATCTCCTTTCTTCTCCTTACTGCAACGACAACGACGAACTGACTAGGAACAATGTTGGGGTATGCTTTTGTCGCATCATTTTCCTTTGAAGGCCAAAATCAATTCGTCATACTGTTTTAGCAATTAGCATGAGTGGAATTTGCCCGCCTGAGGTGTAAATTTATGTGCAAATCCCCGTTACTTATGGCAAAAATGGTTGCCAAATCGTTTGCTTTAAAGCGATCAATATCAACCTATCCTCATCTCTCTGAGAGACTTAATCAAACAGGTAAGCCGCATTATTCTATGTATCAATTTCAGCTTAGACATGTGAAGCATTTGTTTCCAATTCAATTTCTGCAATCGGGTTTTCTTTGACTGTTTTGTTTTTTATTTGGTTGGCAAGGTTATGCTGTACTTTTTAACAACTTGTATCTCTGTATTAGCATGGTTTTGATTGACTATACCGACATTTCTTCTATATTAACATGTTGTTATGTTGTGGCTTAGCAGAAAATGAGATAGTTAAAATGTTCCGGTTGCACCGTGCTTCTGGAGAAGTGCAAAACTTTCCCATGAGTAGGAATATGTCAAGGAAGGACCCTTCAGTTAGGATGTTGGATGAGAGGTTCACAAAGATTTTGAAAATTTTCAAATGGGGACCTGATGCAGAAAAGGCCCTGGAAGTGCTGAAGTTGAGAGTGGATCATCGATTGGTTCTCGCGGTTCTCAAGATTGATGTTGAAGTCAATGTTAAGATTCAGTTTTTCAAGTGGGCTGGGAAGAGAAGGAATTTCGAACACGATTCAACCACATACATGGCGCTGATCCGTTGCTTGGATGAGGCTGGTGGTGTTGGTGAAATGTGGAAAACCATCCAAGAAATGGTTCGGAGTACATGTGTTATTGAGCCAGCTGAATTATCTGAAATCATAAGAATCTTAGGCAGGGCTAAGATGGTAAACAAGGCACTATCTGTCTTCTACCAGATCAAAGGCCACAAGTGCAAACCAACGGCAAACACTTACAACTCCATGATCTTAATGCTGATGCAAGAAGGTCATCATGACAAGGTCCATGAGCTCTATAATGAGATGTGCAACGAGGTTAACTGTCTCCCAGACACGGTTACATACAGTGCACTAATATCGGCATTTGGGAAATTGGGTCGTGATGATTCTGCCATTAGGTTGTTTGATGAAATGAAGGATAATGGTTTGCATCCAACTGCAAAGATTTATACTACCCTGTTGACAATCTTTTTCAAGTTGGGAAAGGTTGAGAAAGCTTTAAGCCTGGCCCAGGAGATGGGAGAGAAGGGGTGTCCGCCTACTGTGTTTACCTACACTGAATTGATAAAGGGGCTTGGCAAAGCTGGTAGGGTTGAAGATGCTTGTGTTATATACAAAAACCTTCTGAGGGAGGGTTGTAAGCCTGATGTCGTGCTCATTAACAATTTGATAAACATTTTGGGAAAGGAAGGTCGTATAGAAGATGCTATTAAGCTTTTCAACGAGATGGTTTCTTTGCGTTGCACACCTAATGTGGTGACATACAACACTATAATTAAAGCTTTATTTGAATCCAAAGCTCCAGCTTCTGAAGCTGCGTCATGGTTTGAGAAGATGAAAGTTAATGGCATTGTTCCCAGCTCATTTACCTATTCAATTCTTATTGATGGTTTTTGCAAAACAAATAGAGTTGAGAAAGCTCTGTTGCTTCTTGAGGAGATGGATGAAAAGGGGTTTCCTCCTTGTCCAGCTGCGTATTGCAGCCTGATCAACAGTCTTGGAAAAGCAAAGCGGTATGAAGCTGCAAATGAGTTATTTCAAGAATTGAAAGAGAACTGTGGGCGTTCAAGTGCTAGGGTATATGCTGTGATGATTAAACATTTTGGGAAATGCGGGCGTCTCGATGAAGCTTTGGATCTTTTTAATGAGATGAAGAAACTCGGATGCACTCCAGATGTGTATGCTTATAATGCGCTCATGTCAGGGATGGTGAGGGCTGGCATGATAGATGAAGCACATTCCTTGCTTAAAGTAATGGAAGAAAATGGTTGCATTCCAGACCTAAACTCGCAAAATATCATTTTAAATGGCTTGGCCAGGACAGGGGGACCAAGTCGGGCTTCGGAAATGTTTTCCAAGATGAAGCATTCTAAGATTCAACCAGATGCAGTTTCTTATAACACTGTTCTTGGTTGTCTCAGCCGAGCTGGTATGCTTGAGGAGGCTGCAAAGCTGATGAAAGAAATGGATTCAAAAGGTTTTCAATATGATCTCATCACTTACTCATCAATACTTGAGGCGGTTGGCAAGGTTGATGATGTTCGCAAGACTTCCTCAGAGGGATATGGTATGAGATAGTTTCTCTTCTTTTACTTACACTACATACCCAGGGTTAAGGGCTGTTTCTGATTAAGATGATTGAAAACCTGCTAATAAGAAGAAAAACAAAAAATGAACTTGTGAAAGTATGCAATATCAGTTGGTACCACATGCATAATTATCAGTTACGATGTATGGGCTAATGTTTTGAGCTGTTCATATGACAATGTTTTTCTTAATTGCATGTGAGCTATGTGATTGATATACACTATGTCCTAGTAATCAAATTTTTAGTATTGCTGCTATAAACCGTCTGCTGTATACTTAACTCACTCATGAAATGCTGATTCTTCTGCAGGTTATACGCCCTATTAAGCGTCAGCGGCACAGCCGTATATCCTACAAATTTCAAGTATCTTCCAGTTGGAATTTGCTGGAAGAAAAGAAAATAAAAACTCTAATAAACCACTTATTATAAAGACAGTGGATTGTAGAAAACCCAATTCAAATGTTACCTTTGTAAATACGATTTGAATGAAGGTTGTTCTTCGGCTACGCAATCCGCACTGCCTCATGTGTTGTAACTTAAGCAGGAGATGGACAAATTCAGTGCTGAAATGCAGAAGCTGTTAATTGTAGTAATATGAAAGAATGTTATGAACTCATGTTCATTCACCGCCTATATTTGTAAGGCATAATTGATCCTGATGCGTTTCATTGTACCCAATTGGAAATTTGATTATCAGTGACTTATAACCATACATTCCACCTCTTGAATTCTAAATGTTGTTTCACTCTTTATTTTTCAAATGCACTAGATTTCACTAGTCCCATGGGGACAAAGTGGATGCAGCACCCCAATCTGGAGGCTTGCAGCATTAACGTTCATGTCCTTTTAAGTAATATTATGGGTGGATAAGGTTGTAATTGTCATTTCCTTTTAAATGATGGTTGAGAACTCAGGGATGAGTTTAGACTAGGTTCTGCATTTTGTAACAAAAACAAAACAAACAAAACTCAGGAAGCAAGGTATATGGATCTGCCAAAAATGAAAACATATATATTGTTGCATCTTCATGATTTTCAGCTCAAAATGCTGGCAGAGGCAATCAAAATAGAAAACAGACCACCAGCAAACAAGTGGATAGATATCAGACCATCAACATGGGACAAAAGGGAACAGAACTAGGCAATACAATAGTAATTCGAATTTTCATATTTCTACTACCATATCTGCTACAACATCAACAACTTATTTCCATAAAAGAGATTAAAAGGGATAAAGGCCCCCAATTGTTACAACAACAGCTAGCAGTTAACATAACTAGTTGACATTATAGATAGATACTCGTGTATCACCCACTAGCATTTTCAGCAGAGATATCATTCTCCTCGTCATCACCCTGCTGTATTTTCGCAATCTCAGCCTGCGCTCTCTCCATAATCTGCCTTTTCTGCATTTCCAAGTCCCTGTGGAAATCCATCCTCATCTTCTCTAGCTCTACCATCTGCTGCCTTTTACTAGTTTCAATCTTCTCATATATGTCACTGAATTTCTGAATAGAATCAGCAAGCAATCTAAAGGAACACCGATCATCATTGTCCCTTCCGTACCTTCTCTTCTTGGGTGGTAGCCCATCTGAATCATCATCCGCTCCCTCAGCAGATTCTGAATTTCCTGGACTATCCCTCATCTCATCCAACCCATTTGCACGGTTCAAATACACTCTAGGGTTCATGAAAACATACTCCCCTGAGTCCAAACCACAAGAGAGGCCAGATTGCTGTTGTGGCGATGACATTAACATATCCATCTTCTTGAAATAAACCCACTTGCTGCTAGCACCACCAGTCTCTGCAAACTTGAGCCTCTCCTTTTTGTACTTCTTCTTCAAGGTATCCAACCGATTGCGACATTGTGTGTCTGTCCTTTCAATCTTTGACACCTCTGAAACCTTCTCCGCTACCTCTTGCCACTCCTCAGAGCGAAGACTCTTTTTCCCACGTTGAAGAAACCGATCACCCCAAGCATCTAGTAACACAAATGTCTCATGCTCAGTCCAATCAGTAAGCGAATTCCGGCCACCAATTGACTGTCTTGGAGCAGAGGGTGCAGCAGCTGGAGGAACTGGTTGACGAGGAGCAAATTCATAACTTGAGATCAAATTCTTCAACTTCCGCTTCTTTGGGTGCTTTTTTAAATCAGCATCATCAATCATTCTATTATAAACTTTGCTCTTATTATCATCTTCATCCTCCTCATCCTCCTCATCATCAACATCATCTTCGTCATCATCATCATCATCAACATCTTTGTGAACAGACGGATAACCATTTTGACCATTGTTGTCTTCTTCTTCCTCACCCAACTCTTCATCCTCTTCATCCTCATCGTCCTCTTCATCATCAACATAGTGACTACCAACTGGCCTAGAATATGGACCACTACGAACAGGAAGCTTCTGCCTTTGAGAAGAACCATAACCCTGCTGGTGATTCACACCATATGGGTTTGGAGGATACCTTGCATCATCTTCGGTGTCATCCATTTCAACACGAACTCAAGATTAACAACAACAAAACCACCACAAATAAGATACACCAGTAAGACCCTACTTGCTAGTTCCAAACCACCAATTTCTCAGTTTCAATAGGGCTAAACTCCAAAAAAATCCATACCATTATCATTTTTCAGCTAGCTTCTTATTCCAATCAACAACTTCTCCTTCTTCATATAACTAAAACCCCAAATCATCCAAGCTCATGAACCTCTGTTATCATCACCATCATCCACAAAAAATTTCTTTTGAAAAAAGAAAAACTGAAACTAGCTCCAAATCAGCATTTTGTTTTAGAAAATCACGAAAACATCAAAACCCCGATGAATATCTCTCTAAAAAGAAACCTATTTTTATGGTGAAAATCGTTGTCAGAGAATTCAATACCCTTAGGTCAATAGACTGGTAAGTAAACCCTAACAAAGTCACCAAATTTATCATTCCAAACTCATGAAAAGTAAAACAAAAACTAACCCACCATCCGTTTTCCAAAAATTTCCTAATTCTTAAGCTCAATTCAAACTCCAGCAGTTTCAAAATCGAGAAATGGAGCCCTTATCTCTTACCTCAAAGGACAAGTTTTTACAGACTTGAAAGATCGAAACTTCTCTCAAAATTTCCTCAGTCGCAAGCCAAATTGGAGCTTCTGAAAGAGCTTCAACTCGAAATTTCCTCAAAGTTGAAATTAATTGTGTGTCTCCTTCCAGGAAAACTGAGATGGGAAAAGAAAAGACAAGAAGGCAGAGAGAGTAAAGAATTGGGGATAAAATAAGGTCACTGGAACTGCTATATCACACGCCTGGTGCGTTATTGTTTATTTTCTCCTTTTTTTTTTCTTTGGTACAGATGGGTTAATGCGCTATTGTTTTTTTTTTGTTTTTTTTTCTTTCTGGGCTTTTTGGGCCTAGTGAATGCTGGTTTGAGCTGGGTCCTAGTTTGGAAAAAGTTCACACCTAGTTGATATTTATATTTTAGTTTATCAAAGTATAAAAAAAAATACAAATACAGATTTTTATGTGATGTTAACATTTTTTATGCAAACGATATTATTCTTTAATATAATTTAAACTATGAGAACAGGTATTCGAATTCGGGTGTATAGTGGGGCTAAATCCATATATGTTGTGGTGTTAACATTATATGTTAGTAATTTAACCATAAATATTGACTATCATTCCTAAATTTGAAAAAAGAAAGAAAAAAGAAACAATCTTTCATGAGTTGTGCCCTTGCCATAGATGGTTGGTAGATGGGTCCTCAAAGCTCTAGAGTCACTTTTTTGTTTTATTTGTTTATTTTAGACATGGCCTTATTATTAAGCTGATGTACCGTGCACACCACATACATAAAAGAAATAGGATTTGAGAGATAAGTTGCACTTGTTTGTGTTTCTTTTTCAATTTTTAGCAATAAAGAAAAGGAATACAAGAGCACCAAAAAGGAGGGATAGAAAGGGAAAAGAGCAAAGGAATTATTAATGAATTTGATTTTTTTTATAAATATAAGTGATAGTCTATAATGGGGAGGGGGTTTCTCACACACAAACACTACTAAAGTGTCATGTTTGAACCAGAGACCCATGTTCACTATCAAGGTGTCATGTTTGAACCTGAGACCAGTCAATGCTCTTTTTCATTGTGCCAGACTCTATTGGCTAAATTTGATTATTAGAACTTGGGTTCAAAACATCTACGAAGAATTGAATTACGATTGAGATGGGATTGAATTATGAGGTAGGATTTGATTGTATTTGATTACATTGAATTGCATTGGATTACATTGACTTACATTGAATTGGAGAGTATAACATTAATCCAATTATGCGTTTGGTACTACACATAAAATATGATAGAGTTAGACACAATTCAATCTAACTTAGTCCCAACCTTTTGGTGGGATTCATAATCCTACTACACTTAACCCTAATAAGATAAGAGTTTAGTATATCATTTGAAAACTCCGTGCATGACAATGAGCTAGTTATAAAAATAAAAAAATAAAAAAAGAGTTCATTCCTTTTTGAGGATCAAAGTTTAATTGAAAATTTACAAGTTTTCTCAAAATTTTGCGTGACAATGTACAAGTTAATTAAACAGATATGTTCTTCATTTACATATTCTTATCCTCAAGGACCACGTATTTTGACAAGTTAAACAAACGAATAAATATCCTCTATTTTTCACAAACTGGAAAAGGCAACGGCCATATATTTTACTGTGAGTAACTACCTGAGAGAGAAGATTTACAACAGAAGATGCCGCCACATTGCCATAACTCCAAAAGGTCCAAAACTGAGAATATACGCAGTTTTATACCAAGCCGCATACAATACGTAACCTTTGTTAATCGTGTGTATGTGTAAATGAAAGAGAAATAGAGAAGTATATCAGTTTTCTCCTCAGTGAAGAGCCTCTGTCTCTCTGGTTTTCAGTGCATACAATATAAGAAAGGAAAATATGAGGTATAAAAGTGAAGGCAAGTTAAAGTTACAGACTTTTTCACTGTCTATCTGTGCTTTATGTGGATTGTTTTTGTAGTCTCAACTTCATCAGTGAAGTTTCGGAGAAGAAAGCCAGGTGGGTTTTCCGTACTTTTTTCCTATTTCCTGTGGGTCTGTATTTTTGTCTCATTGATCCATTTGAATTTTGATTTTGGGACTTCAAAACTGAATCTTGATTTTTTGTTTTAACTTTTCAGTTGTTTACTGTGACTTAGTGTTCTTGAGGTTCATTAGGATGCGTGTATCGGCCTTTCAGTTGTGCAAAATATTCAGATTTTAATCATAATGGATACCCTTTGATGCATTTTGAAGGATTGATTAATCACTTGCTGTATATTTGTGACTGCATTTGCTACTTAGCTCTTGGGTACCCTTGAATTCTTTATCATCCCGAGCAAGTTTAAACGAATTTAAGTATTTGTTTGGGAAAATCAAAGGGATCTATATCTGATTTTAGTATGAATTAACTTATTTCTGCACTTAGTTTGGTCTCTAAGCTTCTTGAGTTTGTAATTTAAGTTGTACTCTCTAGGTTGTTCTGGGATTTTTGATTCGTTATAATTGGGAAATTTTTAATCTTGATCATCAATCCATGTTTTTACATTTATTTCTGAATGTGTCAACAAAATTTCTTATTTGGGTTGCCCTTGATTTTCCCTGGCTGTATAATGGTTCATTGATGCATGCTCATGGTTTACCCTTCTTTCCTCTGATTATGTCCAGTTGACTTTATTCGATTGTACTCCTATTTATTCCACTGGAAATTACGTTTTGGACAATTATCTTCTCATTTGTTCTTTTCTTTTTGTCATCAGTGCTTGCAAGATGCATTTCCACTTCCTATTATCCATAATTTGCACTCAAGCTTTATCATTTGTGTAGCTAGGTGGATGGTCAATGTTGCTCACAACCTGCTTCTTCACTCATTGATTACGGTGTTGGTTTTTTTTTTTTTTTTTCATATGACAGGTTTCAAACTTAGGATTTACCTTTTTCCCATCCTACTCCAGGATTTAGTGGTTACTACCATCGATATACAGTAAGGAATTGCTGGTTCCTCTTAAGAGAAGTGAGCTGTTTAGAATATTACAGAGGAAGATAAGCATGTCACGTGCAAAAAGTTTGTGCGAGGTGATCTAATGGCTTATTCTAATATGTTAAGCCTGAAACATACAAGCAACTCACTTTTCAGTATTCCTGGTTTCTTTACAGGGTTTGGTAATAAAGGTTCGTCAGATTCTGACTCAGTTAGGAGCCCTACATCTCCTCTAGATTTCAGAGTTCTTTACAATCTTAGCAACCCATTTAGTCTTAAGTCTGGTAGACCATCGTCCCAAAATGGAAATAAAAAGAAATGGGATTGTAGTAAAGAAGGCCTCGGCATTGTCAATTCACTAGGTGATGAAACTAAAGCAACTAGTGAAGTTATTGGTGCACCAAAGAGGAAGAATATAATTTTTGGATCACAGGTGAAAACTAACATCTCTAACTCCTCAAAGGTTTATTATGATTCAGACGATTGTTCCATCAAGTCCAAATCTTTAAATAGGAACTACATAACTCTCGATCCCCAACACCAAGCAGACAAAGTGAATGGTTTCTTTGAGAGTGTGGGACGTCCTTTGGAATCTGAACCATCTGAAAACATTGCATCATGCTTGTTAAACTCCAGTGGTTCCTCACAAAGTGGCTCTATGTATGATCCAAACTTGAGGTTCAAAAGTCTTGATTCAATGGATAAAATTTTGAGTTCATCTTTAGTTTTAGGCAGAAGTTTCCAAGTAGAAAATTCAGTGGGTTTCAAACCCAGTTCACTTCCAGTACCTATTGCCTCTACCCATCAATATGCATCCTCTATCTCTGCAAGAGAGATAGAACTGTCTGAGGATTATACCTGTATAATTTCTCATGGTCCAAAACCTAAGACAACTCATATTTTTGGGGACTGTATTTTGGAATGTCACACAAATGAGTTAAACAATTTTGATGAAGCAAAACTCTGGATAGAATCACCTCGAGTGGCTAAGTGCCAGGACAGATTGGCAAATGAGCATTTGGATGAAGCTTTGAGATTCTGTTACACCTGCAAGAAGACCTTGGAAGGAGAAGAAATGTACATGTGCAGGTTTGTTTCAAACATCTGTTTGCAATTTTCACTCAACTCCCCTTTTACTATGGAGGCTGAGGTTTTCTCTGATTTTTTGCAGAGGTGAGAAAGCATTTTGTAGTTTCGATTGTCATTCGGAGAAGATTTTTGCTGAAGAGGAAACAGAAAGTATGTGTGATAATTCTGCAGGTAGCTCTTCTGAAAGCTACCGTGAAGATCTCTTCTTATTGGGCATGCATTGTGAGGACATAGAATAGGTCTTCCTGTCTATCATTTTGAGCTGATGGATTTCAAGTGGCTGAACGCCCTGATCATCAGTTTTTTTCTTATTGTTTCCTAATTCGCTGCAAGTACTTATCTAAGAAACCCTTTGGACCTGGTGAACTCATTAGTGAGTGCATGGGATATTTAAATAACACCTTACCATTTACTTCTCATTATTTCTTGAGGTATATGTATGATGTTTTATCTTTGACAACTTATATCATGGAAAGGTCACAGATTGTTATATCCCAGTTTGTGTGTGCTTTTCTGTGCACTCCCACATGGATTGTGCATTAGGTTAATCAGCGTTGTTTAAGCGATTTTTAGTAATTGTTCATTTTCAGGTAACGCATCGATTTCCTGCGTTGTGGCAGATGGTATTACAGTCAGCTTAGTATGTTTGAACTATGCTTTTACTGTACTAAAGCTCTCAAGTAATTTAATCTTCAAAATCTATGTTATGGTGTGGTGAGAATATACTGTGCATTTGGGATTCACTGCTGCTAGTTAATGTTTTCCAATAAGGCGTTTAATTTATTTGCTGCAGCATTCTCCTCCTGGTACATCTTAACCAACCCCATCCTTTTGTGTTAGAAATCTTTGCTTTTTGTCTATCCTTTCTGATAATCAGGTTCATGTTGGCCCAAGCCAACCTTTAACTTTCAAATGAAGAATTTACATCAAGAACCATATTCATGTTTGCATCATTACAAAAATTCCTCTGATAACCATATTGATGGTGTCAGAGTATGGTAAATCTGACCACAGATTTAACTGATGAAAGAACAAATTCTGCTTGAGTGGGCATTACAATTTCTCATTTTAATGGTTGCTGTGGAGTTGAAGATCACAAACACCTTAGACGTGGCAACAAAACATACACAAGTTTATGATAAAAAAGCAATTTTCTTACTCGGCAATGGCATGTTCCCATTGGTTGAAAGTATTGCAGAGGACACCAGGGCATGATCCTCCTAACGTGAATTTGACTCTGAAGCAGAGAGCTAGGCACTAGTGTAGTGTAGTAGAACATTTCAAAAATGGTGCTCAACACGACAAAAACTTGTCTTAACTGCATTCTCACGCGATGCTGTCAGTTCCTTCTACTTTTTCTGAAGAAGGAAAAAAAAAAACTAAAACAATTATTTACTGATGGGAATTGACAATATCATTTTTTTTTTGTTAGGAAGAATTGACAATATCATTGTAATTACAAAAATTATGTAAATTGTGGCATGCTTTATGAAAATAGAAATCAAAGGAGTAAGGATAGGAGCTTGTAACTCAAGTGGTTAAGAACGTTTGTTTATGCACTAAAAATTATGTGTTTGATTGTCATCTTCCTCCCGATATCACTTGTGTATATGTATATAAAAGAAAAAAAAAGGAACACTCTACATAATTTTTCTTGCATGCTTTAAAGGTTAAAAACTTCAACAATCAGCCACACACAAATATTAAGAGCTTCATTGTACTTAAAACGGGAACAAGTTTAAATAGCAACAACAATGTATTATAGCAACAAGAACAAGTTTAACTAACAAGATTAAAAGCTTAATTTTGATTGTCTGGAAAAGAAAACCAAATTTTATGTCCTCAAATGTCTCAAGTGATGATTCATTTGCATTGTGTCAGAGCCAATCACATATATTTTTAGGAATTAGAATTTTATGCTCCGTTGTAGGGAGAAATTATAGAATACGTATGGTTACGTGGTACATCTTGTACATGTGTTATAATATGGGTGAACGACATGGTTTATTTTTACTCAATTCAATCTATGTAAGATTTATTAGTAAATTATTGTCTATTTTTAATAAATGTAAGGCAAGTCTGGACTTTGCCCTAACAGAGAAATTGTTGTAACACAGTACCATTTTACTACTTCCACATAAAATTTCAAAAGGAGGATATCCCTGGTAATAAAATTAATTGAAAAACAATTAATTAAATAAATAAAAGAACAAACCACCATGAAACTTGGATGTTTATGTATCTTTCACTATCAACCATATGAACGCAAACTGAAACTGAAAGTTGAAAATAGAGCAAAAAGAGCAAAGCTCTGAGCGCTTAACTCTCCCTTATCTCAACCAAGGAAATCAATCAAGGAAAAAGCAATGGGCTTTGTGATGGGGAGCTCTTGCTTTTTACACTCTCCCCTCTCCCTCTCTCGTTTTCCCTCTTCTTCTCACTCCTTTTTCGTGTATTCCTCCTCAAGAAATGCAGAGGCCAAGAGAAGGAGAGCTCTGCCAATGGCGTCTCTGCGCCAAGAGGACCCAAACGACGCCATTTCTAGCAAGAGGAGGGCTATTATGTTGGTGGGTATTTCAGTTCTTCCGTTCTTGCAACTCAGGGCTAATGCTCTTGAAGGCTTGGCCACTAGTAAGTTGAACTTTTCTTGTGCTTTTCAAAATTGATTGCTTTCTTCCTGGTAGGATGGGAGTTCAAGAATTTGGGGAGATGGGTTTTGTAAATTGTTTTCCTTGTAATGGATTTTCTAAGATAAAATCTTTTTAGGTGTATTATAGTTTGTCATTGTAAAGGATTGTGTTTGTTGCAAATGGTTCATTGCATTTGAACATGGAACTAAGTCTTTTTTAGATTTTTCTTTAGTTTCCGACTTTTATTGGCAATTTATATTTATTTCTTTGTGCAATTTATCACAGTTATTATTAAATTTATATATATGAATGCTTTAATGACTGGTCACTCAAAACTTCTGTCAATGCATTATATTGCGGTTTTATGTTTAAGGGATGCTGATTAATATGCTGGAAGTGAAGTTAAGGACTGAGAGTGATTAGGCAATACTAAGAGTCTAGGATGGTCATGGTGTACGTCCTTTGCAATAGCACCATATTAAAATGGGATTGCAGGAAGTATCCATTTGTAAACATAGGTAATTGTCTGATTGCCTTTTGTTTTCTCGGCCAAGTTTGTCTGATTACTTAGGTACAAGTTAAGTGTACATTGCTTATGCATTGAATGAATCACCTATGTCTACGCGGGACGATGATATAAGATAGCTTATAAACTCTTAGGCACCCTTCCCTTGCGTAATTGTTCTGTAGGGCAAAGTTCTACCAATGAGTACTTTGGTATTAGAGAATCCCACCACGCAATGTGGCTAAAGTCCACAGAAGGGGCGACCTATCCCTCTAGGTTGGATTAAAATGCACACTGGTATTATGTATGGTGGTATAATATCAAGTCATTAGTTACTGGTAGGTCGTATGTGAGTGAAAGTCGCCTTATAGGAAGGAAAGGATACCATCAGGTTGTTGTTCCAGTCAACAGACAGGTAGACTAGGATGTCGGGCACAAAAGTGCTGTGGAGATGTGCCAAATGTACCACATTGAAGAACAGAACATCTTAGGATTGTTTATAAGCACTTGGGCGCCTGTCTTTTGCAAGATGGTTTTGTTGGAGTAAGTTCTACCCATGATTCATGACATGTGGGTGCTTAATACAAGAAGGACTGAAGAAATAACCTGAACCTTATGTTTTATGTTTTAATTTTCAAGAGTGAAATACTCATCTTGGCTAAGCCAGATGGTAATATTATGATTGTCAAGTTCCAGATTTTTTTGGGGTTAAGGGCTGAAATATCTGGGATATAGTTTCATAATTTTTTGTAGTTTTTCTTCCTTTTAGCAACTGAGTCCAAAATAGGGTTCCTTCATGTAAGGTTTAATGCCAGACTAACTTCTGCACATCAGTTCCTTCTTTTAGCAACTCAAGATAGCAGCAGGACTTGCATAACTTTGCAGCTTATTCAGGGACAGGCCCTGTTTTAAGTCATCGGGGCAAAAGGGAATACAAGTAGCAAATCCATATGCGATGCCCCAATTTTATTTCATTTTTTCCTGTTTGAAGTTTCAGTGGGGAATTAATGGGCCTAAAAGATATTTTTCACCTCAAGTGTCCAATGCATGTATCCGTACATTTACATTGGATTTTTTTATTCCTTGTTCATCATGTTGCCATCCCAAAGATATTATCAGGCAAAAGGATGCAGAAAAGCAGAGTTTTAGTAAGGGAGTCCATGAAGCATACTTTTGACCCCATAAAAGCACCCAATTGAGATACATAATGATGTGCAGATCTTTTCGATTTGAGCTAATAATATTTTTGTAAACATCTTTTTGTATTGTGATGAAGATTCTTAGAATGTACTCTTTTCTTAACATGGACTGGTGTTCCTTACTATAATTACTATCCTTTGTAACCCATTTCCGTCTCAGTTCATTCATGGTTGGTTTATGCATTGTTCCTTTATTTTTTCAGGAGAAAGTGAGCTCAAAAGCCCGGAGGAGAGTAAAAAAGCAGAGGTCTGAATGTCTACTAGATTCACTATATCCCAATTAATATATATATTTTTTATTTTATAAATTGATTAGCTTAATGTTCTAATGTGTGGAATTCATTGAACAGCCATCTGAAATAAATGCACCATCAAATCCCGTTTTGTCTCTCCTGAATGGCCTGGGTATTTTCAGTTCTGGTATTCTTGGAGCACTGTATGGATTGGCTCGGGCAGAAAAGAAAGCCACTGATGCAACAGTAGAATCTGTAAGTCCCTATGTTCCACAGTAAAGCTTTCTTTACATGCTTAGATAGCACAGACACTGAAGGAGCCTAAGTACCTTTAAAACGGAACATCAAAAAGTGTGATAATGTTTATCCTTTAATCTTTTTCCTCATTTCTTCTATTCTCAAATGCTTCCTAAAGTTCTACCAATTAATAACCTATTCTGACCTCATAAAATCATATTCCTTTCATTTTGTTTTCGCAATTCATTGCAAGAATGTACTTTTAGATGCTTTGTCTGATTTTACCCATTGCACAGATAAAGACCAAGCTGAAAGAAAAGGAAGCTGCTATTATTTCATTGGAAAAGAACTTTGATTCAAAGCTACTGAGTGAACAAAAAGAACGGAGCAAGCAACTCGCAAGGGCAAGGGAAGAACAGAAGTCTCTAATGGACCAACTAAATTCTGCAAATAGTACAATTGCAGGCTTAGGAAAGGAGCTCAATGGTGAGAAGAGATTGATTGAGGCGCTTAAAATTCAAATTGATAGTCTTGAAACCAACCTTGCAAAGGCCGGGGAAGAAAAAATAGCGCTTGAGGAAAATTTGAAGGAAAAGATCAACTCAATTGAAGTCT